TCCCCCTGGTGCCGGCCTCCTGGAGGCCGCGCCCACCGCGCCGGGTCCAGCTACGCCGCCCAAAGCTCGAGTTCAGCTTCTCCAGGACCTTCATCACTCCATGGAGCTGGGCGAGGAAGCCTCCTTAACCCCATTTTACTGATGAGCAAACTGAGGCGCAGAAGTCAGGTGGCAGCCAGGACTTCAACCTAGGTTGGACTTCAACCCAGATTTGACTCCAACCCTACTGCCCAATAGCACCCTGCAGTGCCCCAGCATAGAGCACCTTCCACATTCCCAGCGCCTCCTTAGCCAGTGGTTCCGTGTCCCGTGAACCGGCGCTCCAGCGCTTCCGCAGCACGCGCTGTGGACTGCGTCCATTCTGTAGATGCGGAGGCCGAGGTTCGGGGGCGTAACAGGTGCTGCGGTCCCCTCTCGGATCGTTACAAGAACCGTCCCCCTCCCCCCCACCGCCATCCCTTCTCTCTTTTCCTTATCATGTTTTGAGACTAGGTCTCGCTGTGTGGCCCAGCCTGAAGTGCAGTGGCGCGATCTCGGCTCACTGCAACCTCCACCTCCTGGACTCAAGCGATCCTCCCACCTCAGCCTCCGGAGTAGCTGGGATGACAGGCACCCGCCACCACGCCTGGCTAATTTTTTTGTATTTTTAGTAGAGACGGGGCTTCACCACGTTGGCCAGGATGGTCTCGAATTCTTGACCTCAAGCGATCCGCCCGCCTCGGCCTCCCAAAGTGCTAGGATTACAGGCGTGAGCCACCGCGCCCAGCCTTCGTTCCCTTCTTTTAATTTGCGTTTCCTTTTCAGCTGTTCTCACCTCTTCCTTCCAAGCCCTCTGAACTCGAGCTCGGCGGGCTCCCTTTGGGACCCCCTTCCCAGAAGCTTAGATGGCCTCGGCGTCGGCCTCTCTGTGTCTGCGGCGCCCTCTGCAGGTAACTGGGGGATGATGCGGGCCTTGCTGACCTCGCGGGGCCAGCGGGCCTTAATCCCTAGGCTGCTCCCTCACGGGAGTGTAGTGGCAGGATCTCGGCTCACTGCAACCTCTGACTTCCAGGTCAAGCAATTCTCCCGCCTTAGCTTCCTGAGTAGCTGGGATTACAGATGTAGCTGGGATTACAGACAAGCACCACCATGCCCGGCTAATTTTTTGCCTGGCTAATTTTTGTATTTTTAGTAGAGACAGGGTTTCACAATGTTGGCCAGGCTCCTCTCGAACTCCTGACCTCAAGTGATTCACCTGCCTCGATCCACCAGTCCTCAGCCTCGGTACCCCCGAGAGAACCCACCAAATACAAACAAAACCCTCTCTTCTGTGGCCGGGCGCGGTGGCTCACGCCTGTAATTCCAGCGCTTAGTAACCTCAGTGAGCCATCTCAGCAGTTCTTACAGGTCTTTGGAGCCTGCTTCCAGTACAGCTCCAGTACAATTATTCCCATGCTGGTCTCCAAGTAAACACTGGGTGGCTGCCAGGAGTCTGGAGGAAGCGCCGCCATAGTGAAGCGGGCAGAATGCTTCTCTAGCAACTGCTACTTCTGGCGCTTAGCTGGGGACCCCCTGCTGCTGCTGCGCACACCTCCAGGAGAATCGCTTGAACCCGGGAAGCAGAGGTTGCAGTGAGCCGAGATCGTGCCACTGCACTCCAGCCTGGGCGACAGAGCGGGACTCTGTCTCGAAAATAAAAAAAAATTATTCAAACTGTTTCCCAGAAGAGAGGTTTTGTGTCAGTGGTCTTTCACACCATTTCAGAACCACACTTGCCTGAATGAACACTTCAGATGGACTTGGTGTCATCTGGGCTTAAGGGACAGCAAATGATGGAGTAAAACTGTACAAATAATCCAACGTCTCTTCTGTGAGCCAAGTCAATAATTAGCTGGGGATCCGACAGCTCTGCCTTTGTCGCCTGAGACAGATTGTCCAACAATTCCCCTGAAATTCCAATCTGTGCAATAAGACAAATACCTCAATGGAATAGAAGAGAGAGCTGGGAAATAGAGCCACACACATACAGTCAACTGATCTCTGACAAAGGAGGAGAGGCAATTCAATGGAAAAAGCACAGTATTTTTCAACAAATTGTACCAGAACAATTGGACATATATATAACAAAAAAACGAATCTAGACACAGATCTTACATCCTTCACAAAAATTATTTCAAAATGGATCATAGACCTAAATGTAAAATGTAAATTAATAGCATTCCTAGAGAATAACACAGGAGAAAATCTAGGCGACCTTGGGAACACCAAAAGCACTCCTCTGCCACTCTGAGCAATAAATAGACCTGGATTATATGCATGGTTCCAAAAGCGTGGTGTAGCTTCCTTGTCCAGATTTAAGACCTGACATCTTGAAGATGGCAGCAAATCCTAGGAGTTGCACACTGGCATTCCATTTGAATCAGAACAGGAAAAGGAGCAAGATCCCCTAGTTCCTGGGGAAACAGAGTTGTTCCCAGCCCAAAACCATAGCATAATTGGTACTGGTTTTTTTTTTTTTTTTGACAGGGTCTCACTGGCTTTCTCACCTAGGCTGGAGTGCAGTGGCAGGATCTCAGCTCACTGCAGCCTTCGCCTCCCAGGTTCAAGCGATTCTCCTGCCTCCAGCCTCTCGAGTGGCTGGGATTACAGTCATGCACCACCACACCTGGCTCACTTTTTTAAAAAATTATTTTTAGTAGAGACCGGGTTTCGCTATGTTGGCCAGGTTGGTGTTGAACTCCTGGCCTCAGGTGATCCACCCACCTCGGCCTTCCAAAGTACTGGGATTATAGTGAGCCTCTGTGCCTGGCTGATTGTTACTTTTATAATAAGACAAGTCTTATGATAAGACAAATTTACCCTGACCACCTGCTTTGCAGGTGTTTGCACCAGCCTCCCCATCA